TTTTCCATGATTTATAATAATTGGAGTAATGCAAATGCACATTTTCTAAAAAAAAGTCAATTTTTAGTGAAATTTTGCCGGGAATGGGGCTTTAATATCTATAAATTTATATATTTATTGTTATGTATTGTTACTTAGGGAGTATGGAATCTTAACTTTTGTTACAGTGATTTAGTTCACTTTTTGGTTCCTGCCTACTCCCTGAGTTGACTGATATGTGCATGTTTTTGTATTGTTTATGGCAATAAAGAATAAGAATAAGAAGTGTAGGAATAGCAGTAGGAAATAAACGCACTGTTTGCGCTTATATTATTCCCCGGTGAACCACGTGCATCTTTTCAACCAATCAAAGGGGTTCTGTAGGATATTGTTTGATTGGATATTTACGTCATTTTCAATTAAACAAACCTCGTGACATTTCCATCAATAAACAGCCTCGTTTCATGACGACATATTTAAAGATATCGGTATGTCATAAACCCCCTAAAAATAATTAAAACATTGGAATAGGACTGTTATTTTAAAATATATCCTTCCAATGTTTGACAGATTGAAAAATGAATTTGTGCTAATTTCAGTCATTTTACATCGAGAATACTTAAATTGATTATCCGTTAATTTAAGGGTGTAGGTTATGCGTCCGTTAACTGACCAGGATCTTTTTTGTCATTTTAATTTTCAAGGAACCTAATTTCATTCAGTGGTGGGTGGGCAGCTGATTTCATCTATTTTGTCAATTGATATAAGGTACAATATTCAAAAATTAATACACAAAGCAAGACAAATAAAAAACGGTGGCGGCGCCAAGTTTTCCCAGACGGAGGGGCTGATGTCACCGACGAGAAAAAAATGTGGGCATGCACTGCTACGATACTTTGATTTGTAGGAGACATAGACATATTTATTAGCGAAAGTTTCAATGTTTCCTACAAGTCAAAGTATCATAACATTTTATTGTGTCTGCGTCTATTTCACTTATACATACATATTTATAGTCAAAGACACATCATTTACATACTGAACAAGATCGTGACTCCGAAAATGTGAGCATTGTGATTGGTTGAAATCGTTTATTTCGGTCCGCCCATTTTATTCAAATACGGAATATAAAATTACGTCATTCTTATGGGAACCTGCATGCAGTGTTTTACAAGTCGCTATTTCATCTCTAAATTACCCTCATCGTTGGTGGCGCTGTCCAGAATGAGAATAAAATAATAATAATAAGACTGTGGTTGGGGCTGATGTGTGAAAATTTAAGGAAATAGTACCTCAAGCTGGCCGGAAATGACACTCTTACAGTATATTATAGTAAAAGTCATCATCATCACATCACTTGATCTGCTATCAGCGATTTTCAGCTGTCATAGATGTCTAATTAATCTCTGTATTGTTACCATAGAAAATAAACTTAATGGTCTTTGATGTATTTACTTTACTTTACCTACTTCGTGTGCCAAAAATCTTGTACTTTTTCTCAAACTTCTCAAATTATAACAAAAGCACGCACACTCGAGCCGTGTATTATAGGTAAATCAGATGTTAGTGATACCGGTATCTTGCTATAATATGTAATGCACAAATATAAGATGTATATTACTGTACAGCGCTCTTTCGTTAAAACCTGGGTCATTTATGCAGTTCATTTCAACAACAACAATTCAGGCATCATCTTTACTGAAGAAATTTACATTGAGGTCGAAAAGTGGGGGGACCAGCCTCCTTAAAAATATGTAGGGGAGGGGGAAAGGGGAGTGTTCCCTTGTGCCCCCCCCAAAAAAAAATGTCTGTGTCCATGACATTCACACTTGTGTAACGCCAACGGTCCATGTTACAGTGTTAGATTTCCATTCTCTTCTTTGAAGAATTGCGTACCTTTCGATTGGCTCAATAACGCGAACAGCAACTTAGACTTATTAGAATTCACAAGCTTTTCTCGAAGTACCAACTTTTCAAGCTGCCAAGTACTTGCAAAGTTTGAAAATCCCAAGAGTGGCCAATGCTGATTACTACCTCAATTGCTGTTGTTGGCCAACACCATCAATCCAGGAAAATATCTGAATTTTGCAAAGGCTGTTTGGGATATTATCCAAACTTTTACTAATGAATTTGAAGGGAACTGCTAACTTCAGATAGAACACTCGTAAATTCATAAATATCTTTCAACATAAGACGTCATGGATTATGACAATAGATCCCATTGATTTTTATTTTTCCCCAGACGTACCGAAAACGAAAGCTCCAAAAAAAAAAGTTTGGTATCACTGAGTAGACAATTTTGTAATGATGTGCAACATAATTGTATTCGATATATTACAAATGTTTTTATATCCCCGATTATGATTTCATAGTAAAATTGACCTGAAATTACATTTATTGACCTCTGACCCTTTATTCTGCAGTTATGTGTCGTCACTGACGGATGTAGTTCTAAGACTATTTATTTATTTATTTTCTGAAAGTAAATGGTCCCTGACTCCCGGACTGAGTTTTGATTGGTAGTGAAAGACACGTGAAATGGCCGACATTTTACACCCTATCAGTTGTGTGACGTCACTGAATATATGTATGTGAAGAAACATTTGGGCTACTCGCGCCAGTAATAAAGTAAGGGTTGCCAAGGTCAATTCTGTACATTTATATGCTTGTAAAAACTGAAGAAATAATAATATTAGCTATTTTGAAATTCTAGCAAAATTGTAAATTAAAATTACATGAAACAAACACCAACATACAGTACCTTTAATTATTACATCATTTTTTTTCTGCTATGAACAATGAAATTTCTATTCATGATATAACATCTTTTAATAATTATAATATACCAATATTAAAACTGACCTTTGTATTGCAGTATTCATTTCACCTCTAAAAATACATATAATATTAAAAAGTATATAAATCTGGTATCTAATTTACGTACAAAATTGTTCATACTATAAATATCGACATAAAACATTACATACTTAAACACAGTTTCATATATCTATTATGATTTATTCAATAACAGGATTAAAGAAATATTATTGGTCCATATAGAAAATACAGAGAAATGAATTGTTTGGCCGATGAATATTAAAAATATACCGGAATTAATATAGTACAAAATTCACATAATGAAGACAAGATCGGTACATAATACAAACATACAAATGCGAATGCAAATATAAAAGAAAAATGTAAAAAAATATGACATTGTTGCATTACTCTGAGTTACTCCCATAACACCAAAAAATAAATAAACGATAAACAAATGAAAGATATATGGTCTGTGGTTGAATATATAAAGTCAGCAATTCAAATATTTAATATTATTTTTAGCTCATCTTTAATCATATAGCTTTTTATTTTTAGAATTAAGAATGAAGAGGAAGCAGTCCAGTCTTGCCGGTTATTTCTACTCCCAAGACATCCGGGTAATATTGCAAGTTGCCGAAGACTTTGAGGTTGGATGGTCAGGATTAATGGGGGAGTTATCTCTTCTACAAGTATTGCCTTTGGAGGCATCAATGAATCTGGTTAGAGATGGATTGCATTGATGAATCTTAATGAATCTTAATATCAAGTACGATTGCTTGAGGAATATGTCAAATTTTAGTCTAAGAGGATTGTTTGTGGGTTCAATTCCTTTCGTGGTCACTTTTTCGTTTGTAAGGGTACAAAATAAGTCTTCACATTGAAATATATTTTATCTACGCCCTGGGACTGTTTTTCCTTCATTTCTTTCCCAGCTCCTACATCCCCCACTACCACCCCCTATATCTCCAGCCCTCTGTCAACCTGGTCCTGAGCTCAGTAATACTTATTTAACTAGTAAATGAAATCAAGTTGAATAAATGTATTCACTACTAAGTTTAGTGAGACAATTTAAAATGTATTTATATTTTCATAATTATAAAACTATGTATATTAATAGAGTATTTTACATATATAAACATATTTCTAACACAACCAAGCTGCCAGCAGCAAACATAGCGTCATTTGTATGTCAAAGATTACCGTGAAATGTATTTTTAGGCATTTGATTCATTATTGACATCAGATGTTTCAGACATTAAAGATGTCATCGCAGTTGTATCTTCACTGTTGTCTGTTTTTTTAGTTTTGTTTGACGCTTTCTTTACGTTGTTTTTCCCACGTGATTTGCTGTTCAACACAGGTGCACTTTTACATTGGTCTACTATTGAACAAGTTGTGTCATGTGGAGGTATAAACAACTTTGGCATGTTCGCTTTTTTAACCTGTAACCGTGACGATTTTGTTGGAGTTGTGATGTAATTATAATGCGTTGGAGTACTTGGGTGCTGTGCCTTATCTACCTTTACTTCTGCTGTCACAAGTGGTGATATCGTGACTGGTAGAACTGGTGAACCGGGTGACGAATGATCTAGTGACTGGTTACCGGGAGATGTCTTCTTCCAGAATCGGGCAAGAGGTGACAGGACACCAGAAGGAGAACCTGAAGGACTCTGTGGCGAGCTGCTTCGCGACTCCGACAACTTAACAGGTGACATGTAACCTGGTAGAATAACTGGTGTTGAAGGAGACGAAAATGTAGGGCTGTCGGTCCCATCACCTTCTGCTGTCCCGGTACCGGAGGTTGATTGGTAGTAGCCTGGTACAAAAATAGTAGTGTTGGGTAATGAGTATGAGCGCTTGTTCTTTAGATCATTCCGCACGTGTGATACTAAATATCCGGGGAGGATGATAGGGGTGCCGAGTGTATCGGGCGTCGATTGTGATCGATCCAATCCAATTTGATTGAAGTATTCCTCGTAGTTTGGAGGGTTATCTAAATAAATAACAGCATAAAACAAAAACAAGAAAACACTATTATGGATGAGTCAGCATTACAGTTATTTACACGTGCTGTCGTAATTCCTGTCTCTTATACACATCTAGATGTGTATAAGAGACAGGTTAAATATAGTGTTTGATAACACTATAAAGCCTCTGTGGTCTAGTGGTTATGATCCTTACCTTGACAGTGAGAGGTCGCATGTTCGAATCCCGTCGGAGGAATTTTATCTAGGACAACATTCGTTGAGAGCTGTCCTTTATTCGAACACTGTATTTACCTTTCTTTCATTTGAGAAATATAGGAGTCGATTTGCATGTGTGTTCCAATAAAATAAAATGTAAAAATAATGAGAAGACCATGTACAATCATTGAAGGTTTACATGCGGAACACAAATGTATTGAAATATAATAAAATGTATGTTATATCTTAATAAATTTGTGTTCCGCAACCTTCAATGGTTTACCTCACAATTTATTGAGAAAAATAAAGACTACTACATACATATATAGGCCTATACATATACCTTAAAACACAAGTCCTAATAAAAAAATTCATGGGAGAATACCAGACTGATATTCTGCCGCTACGGTGGAAAAGTGAAATCAACTTACGAACACTTATCAAACGACTGAGTGCATCCAATGAAATTCCTTCATTCTCGAGTTGTCGCTTGCGTTTGTACCATATAAACAGCCAACAAAAGCCGTTGATAATAAAGAAAATTATACATGCAACTACGATGACTATTTCTAGGGTTTTGGAAACTGCGCTATTGGAAGCATCTTCTGTAACAAAAAGAAAATTGATGCAAAATATAATTGATTATTTCAGTCTTTATAACCGCAAGGAAGAGGCGCATTATAAATGACCGTACCAATACCAATGTAATTTTGACTTTTATTAAGTAAAAAGGATTATTATAGCATAAATTTCTTTGGAAATGCATGTCTTTAATTTGGAGTGCCATGGTATATGAAGCTATAAATGGCACAGACACACCGGACTTGGGCTGGTACCAGCGAGAGAAAGGGCATCCCCTCCCGTCAGGGAAAGTTTACACCCGTCGGGGAGAAAAATCACAATTCGTCGGGGAGAGAAAATATTTAGGCCTAAATGTATTTTCTACATATTAGTAGACTCTAAAATTGATTAAATTAATAAGCATTTGAAACCCCCCCAAATTGTCATATTTTTCGAGGGCTTCGCCCCTGGATCACTTTTTAAGAAATAAAGGTGACGCCCGACCACGCCCACTTTGCTCTCGTCGGGGGACATCGGCGGGAGCTCGGACCCTCTCCCCCTCCCCTGTCGGGCAAATCCTGGCGCTACCCCTGCACCGAACACGGTCTCCCTATGACTCTCCAACGAAATTATTTGATTCCAGTCTTATGCGCCCCGTGGCTCGGCAAGGATTTACTTTACAAGCGGCCAGTTTTGGCTCAGCTGGTAAAACATTGAAACTGTGGATAGGTTTGATGATTGTTCGATTTTGGAGATAGTGAACCAACTGAGAAATCAATACATGAAAAGCCAATTGAAGCTGCCTTGTCCCCATGTAGTCTATTCATGTTTGAATTTCTTGAGAACGGCATTAACCTTACATTCAATTTGAAATGTTACATCCTGAACTTTACATTTTTGTGATTTGCAGTGATGATATGCGTAGCCATACAATACGCCAACTGACCCACCGCCCGTATGCGCACTCGCAACTTACGTTGCACACGAGTTGACCTATTCGTGTATACACAACAGTAGGCCAAAACTGCAACGTGTTATGACATATTCTTTCTTTATAATCAGTGTTTGGATAAACCGTTTGTGAATTGTTTCCTGAAAGTTGACACAAGCTTGGTCACGTCCTGAATTGGATTGAAGGCCATGATAATTGTTTGAGAAATTTAGTTGCATTGGAAATACAATTATAGGTTTAGATTTTGTTGTTGTTTGCTCGCCTTGGTTGGTGGGAAAAACGCATGAAGAAGAATTAGAGGCCTACATCGCCCGCCTAACGAGATTTATAATCAGTCAATCAACCAATCAGGCTTATGATCATTTAGTCCCAAATGCAAAATAAATAAATAAATAAATAACAGCATAAAACAAAAACAAGAAAACACTATTATGGATGAGTCAGCATTACAGTTATTTACATGTACTGTCGTAATTCTAAAGCGATAGTAATACGGGATTTGTAGACAATATGAAAACATATTTTGGGAGGAGCTTGCATTCAAAATTTACCGTGAAACTGACAAGTGGTTCCTTTAAATCCCGTGGGACAAATACAAAGTCCGGACGAGGAGCAAGTGCCTCCATTATCACACCAACATCCTCGATCACCCATATCGACAGTTGTACAACCTTAGTTCCGATATCTTAAAAGATGAATAGAAGTATAAATACAATTTAATACAATTCAGTTAATGAAAATAGTGCTTATATATAAATAGAGCTACTATATAAAACGAGCACAATTTCAATTGACGTGCAGATTCTGGTAATGGATGTGTGTTTATGTAGACTCTATGCGCTTAAAACGCAGTCTTGAAAAAAGAAAAATAAAAAATATGTCGGGAAATATCCCAAAACTAACAAAGGAAAACAACAGAAGAGACAAAGAGAAGACGACAGAACTAGTGATTTATGTCTACTTCAAGATTCTTTAATTATTATAAAATGAATTAGGCCTATAATATCAAAGCTCGCCTTAAAACGCGATAAATGCATAACACTATTATTAGACCACTATAAATTCTACAATGTCAGTTTTCTAAGCACCGTTGATTAAGTCATTTAAATGTGTTTATAATATAGGACTATGCTGCTGTGAAAATAAATTATATAAAATCAGACTTGAACTTACCTCAATAAAGGGTAATACCAGAATACTGCAAATGCCGATGGCCGACGCAAATATAAAGACAAAATTGTATCAGAGAACGTCATCAGTAGGTGCTTCTTTAAACGTGTTGTGTAATTTTGATCAATGTGGTCATGGCTTTAAAAAGAACTCGACTAGTATTAGGAACTAGTACTTCCTCCAAAATGACGCTACGAAGGACAGCGTGTTCAGACAGGAACGCAGCCCTAACTTATCCAAATCGTCGAAACTTTGAATTTACTCTGCGCAACAGCTTTTAGTGTTTCTAAAAAACAGACAACTATGGTTAACATGCTCGACCTATTTATACCACATGGAATTTACCCACAAACCTCGCAACTTGGTGAATAGATTCCTAAGCATTGATCAATACAACATATTTAATGTACACTTCATTTTTATTTACTTTATATTATTTATTTTACCAAATATAAATTCGTGCGATATTAGGCGTCCATCTCCCACACTATTAGGTGGACAAGGGGTCCACCCCTTAAGGGCCTCGTGGTGTTTAGTAAGCAGTCATTAAAAAGCTTCAAATAAAAAAAAATTCACTTCGTTCAATTGTATTTTAAAGGATTTTTTTCTGTATTGTCAGGATCAATATAAATATTGTTGACACTTCATGAATACATTTTAGATACGCTTCACTGCAAGCAAGAGGATGACTAGGTTTTGTAAATATTGTTACCTTTTCCTAACAGCAAACCGTAAACAACCTCGTATTCTCTGAATAAATTTAAATTTATTTCCAAAGTTTCTTTTGTTAGGTGCGTAAGCCTATCATATCTCAATACCACGGTATGATGCATTACAAAACGATAATTTCACTTAGTTGTGTATATTTAAGTATTCATGCAATTATCATTATTAATTATGATTATTTTCATGATTGTGTGCCTTTTGTATTCTTTTCTGATATTGGCATGTTTTGTATAAGTCACTATTTGGATTTTTTAACAGTGGCGGCACTACGGGGGGGGGGGGGGGGGGGGCTATGCAGGGCTACAAACATTGGAAGGATATATTTTAAAATAACATATAGGCCTATTCAATGTTTTAATTATTTTTAGGGGGTTTATGACATACCAATATCTTTAAATATGTCGTTAATTGATGGAAATGTCACGAGGTTTGTTTAATTGAAATTGACGTAAATATCCAATCAAACAATATCCTACAGAACCCATTTGATTGGTTGAAAAGATGCACGTGGTTCACCGGGGAATAATATAAGCGCAAACAGTGCGTTTATTTCCTACTGCTATTCCTACGCGTGTTGTGCTTAATAGTACTCCACGACCCAACTTCCGCACCGCACACTCTGTCTCTTATACACATCTAGATGTGTATAAGAGACAACATAAATACTTTGCAGAATGATCTTTCATCCTTAACCTTCATTTGTCTTCCAGTTGTGGATAAATATCTCACGAGATATCTCATGAAATATTAAGGTCTGTCCAGACTATCAAATTTTATTTGACAAAAACATGTGACATGTCTAAATATGGTCATAACGACAACACATTATGACTATAGGCACATCATGACTATATATGGGCGTACAACAAGTTTTTTTTGCTGGTGTATTCCCCTAGATTTTTGTGAAGGAAACGTTTTGTTTTCTCTAAATATTGCATAATTCAATAATTGACAATGGACAAATAAATCACATGATTATACTTGGTATTGACAATCAAATTAGTCTTAAATAATGCAAAAGAATTTAGGCATCAAAACAACTTATTGAGAGACGTATCTATGGGGGTGCGCAGGGAGAGGGACGCCACACATATCAGCTTTCACCCCCCCCCCTCTCGTCGCTCCCCATCACTGGAATTTTTTTCGCAACATCTTGCTGAGTTTCAACCACTAAATTAATTGAACGCTAATGGGTTCACATATTGTCATGTGCAAAAAGAGTACCATAGCGCCATCTATAAAGTTAATTTTGTGTCGTTTTCTAGTTACCATGGAAAACCACAAGACTCCAAACTATTAATTCCTGTTCCATGAGGTTATGTAGTAGTCACCTTTCTATTGAACATTTTTAGAACCTTCAGTATTTAATGGCAGACTTATTTCAAAAGCACCTCGGAAATCATTATTGCGAAAGAGGCTTATGGCGAAATGGACCTTTCCACTAAGCCCCGCCCTTGGATGCTGTTACTAAGGTCCCACGAGACGACAGTGTTAATTATACGCGAACACTTCATTTTCATTTTTTCATTAACCGAAAACAATTACAATATAGAAGGATAAAACAGGCAAAATGAACAAAAAGATACAATAAATGTTGGTCTCTGATTCCCCACAAGGGCCGGCGGGATAACCAAAAAGTAAAATAAATTTCTGTCAAAGTGGGTCGCCATCCGATGTGGGGACTTTAGAGAACAGCAAACCACACAGAGAATGTAATATTACTATAAATATAAATTACAATATAGAAAATAATAAGCATTTAAATTACAATCATTTAATCGTTAGAAGCATCCTTATATATTTTAAAAATATATATTTATGTGATTATTATTTTATACAAATTAGTTAATGATAAATTTTATATACATAAATAAAAAATGCAAGCAAATCGGACAATGCCTGAATTTCCAAGCAACGTGCAAATATTTTTGTTTGTCTTCCGTGGAGGTCTCCCAACTTTAATATCTCTTTTTTCTACATGCATTTACGTTAAAGTGTATACTTTTATAAAAAGTTGATTATGCATATAACAATTAAGAGAATATATTGTATTAAAAACAATCTTTATTTCGTTATTAACATTTAACTAGGAAGTCCCACTCAGCATGGCTGATTTCTAGGGAGCCCTCCAACATAAAAACTTACATAATCCACAGTAACATAGACAAAAATTTCAAGAACACAGGAAAAACCAAAACACAGCATCAACAATTCAAGCTTTAGAAAATAAAAGGGCCATAATAGTATATTGCTTAAGCACACACTCTGATATAGGGCTATATACACTATTATATTGAGCAAATGTATACAAACTAGAAAAAATGACAACGTGACATCATTTCACCAGGCAACACCTCAGAATATACAGCGCATGTGTATGACTTACGGAATTTCCGCCAAGTCCCGCCCCTTGAATATTATTTTTAAAGTCCCACCACAAAACGACAGCGTGACACGCGCGTAAGCAAGTTTGTTTGCGGGACAAGCGCGTAATCTAGTCTAGTTGTTTTGATTGGACAGTTCTGAAGTTTGATTGACACTCCGTGAAGGACCATTATTTAAAAATGTATAAATCATTCAGCAAAGAACGGTAGCATGGCACTTGAGTTTATATGTGTGAGCACCGCCTTGGTTTGAGTGCGTGTTGTGCTTAATAGTACTCCACGACCCAACTTCCGCACCGCGCACTTATCCATTGTTACTGTTGTAAATGATAGTGTACAATCAATTTTTATGCATCAGAGGCAAAGGGAAACGAGAACCATTTGATATAAGCAAACTCTAAGCTTTGACCCGAATTCGTAATATTATATTAAAACAATTGTAATGTACTTTTTTTTGCTTTGAAACCTTTGTCATGTCTTTTGAAGATGAATAAAAACAAAAACAAAAACAAAAACAAAACTCAGACGAGTTTTAAGAAAAGCAAAAAAAAAAAATAAATAAAATACTGTATACCCTACAAAATGTAAACTAAAGTGACCCAATATTTTTAATAGACAACATAACGATGTATATGAGCATTAAAGTACGACTGAATAGGTCGGTAAACCAATCTGGAAATACGAATTCAATCAATCTATACGTTAAAGTTGTTATTGTGTGATTTAAAATGGACAGTAGGCCTAATAAACATGACCATATTAAATTATTACAAATCTCTGTGTTTAACTGCGTCTCCATTTAGCACATACACACAATGCAGATGACCACTTCACTAATCCGACTTCAGTCTTCAAGAAGACTCTATTATCAAGTCGGTTCTTCATTACGGTGTGCCTTTACCGATTCAATATTCACAGCAATTACAATATTGCATGAATAAAATGCATTGCTGAGCACGTCGTTGCAAACTCAATCTACGAGTTGGACACTCTCAGTTTCGTCACCGTCGGAACACTCGCAAAGCCAAAACGCGTTCCAGTGGAAACGCGACATGATTCAATAATCAACAATAGTGAAGGCCCTTGTCATAACCGGTGATGAGCTCTCCAAGGACTTATGCGTAACAAAAGTGTGAATCGTATTTTCAAATTTCTGTTTTTAGGGAGAATAAAGCATTGGATTATGGCGACAGAAGACATGTTCGGTGGTGTAACTGGTGAAACTTTACACCCGGTAAGTTAAATTGACGCATGAGATTGTTAGATTGTGAACTGAAACGATGCTTCAGTACTTATGTGATATACCGTAATAGGCCTATATCTATATCTTGTCAACCTGTATTTATAGACACAATCATAATTGTTAATATTAATCATACCCAAACCATTTGAGAAACGTCATTCTTTTACCATATAGTAGGGTAATTGTAGTGCGAGATGGGAGAGCCGGGGTGCCGGGTCCCGTCCATGTCCAGGGGGGGGGGGGGTTGAAGATAAAATAGAAAAAGTGAAGAAACAATTACATCGATTGGACGAACGAATACACTATAATCATTACAAATGAGTGAATGAATGAAAGAATAGTACCAAATCAGGACACTTCCGAAAAATAACTGGCCTAGGCTTAGGCCTATGTGTTGCATTGTGATTGTGTCAAATGTAAGTCCGACGGATCGGCCTACTAGCCTTTCTTGATAGCAGTTGCAGTACTAAATTTAAACCACTAATTGATTGGAGTAAAAGTTAAATCAAACGCAGTCCGAAAATGAGGATACGAATTGTTTGTCTAAAGAGAAAGTAAATAACGTCTGGTCAAGCACTGTTTACTCTTAGGCGATAAGGGTCAACAAAATATATGGGGGATAACCTGCTGCTCTTAGTCAATGGCACGATATATAGCTTCAATATTGATTGTTTACAAAATACAATAGCTATACTGTTTGTTGAGGTAAGATATCGACTCATCTCATTCAAATAATTAGTCTTCATGTTACTCCCTTACGGCAATTACCGGGTACATAATGCATTACGTCATAAAAGGGGATTCCCCTTTATATTCTTGTTGCAGTTTCTCAATGAGCTGCCGAGCGGGGCTCAGATATTTTATTTTGAATCAACGTCGAAGTCTATTACTTTACTCATCTTGATGGTTTGTATCAAACAACGGATTTCTCAT